AAGGCTGCCAGGCACGGAAGCTCTTCTTTAGAGTGTCTTACCACTCTGTATGCTAGTGACCTGTGAGTGGTTCTGCCACTCCAAAACCACCCAGACTTACAACTGGCCAACACAGGCAAAAGGTTCAACCAGGATTTTTCATATGTTTAATATATAACGTTTCCTTTCTGATTTCTAATAATCTGAAAAGGATACATCCAATTGCGCACGAACTATTCATGTTCAAAGTCTTCATATAAGCACATGCAGCCAAGTTCTTGAAGAACACGTGGCAACACTGCATCCTGCTGTCAGACAGGACTCCAGGTTCAAGCCAGGGCAGGAGAGGGGCAGTGTTCTCACGCCAACAGGCTCAGTCCCTTGGGAAGAACCAGGTCTGGCAGGTCTTTGTGCAACCCGTTCATTCCCAGGATGCAAATGCCACAGCTGAGATGCCTTCATTTGGCCCTCTAACCTTTCATCTGCTCTTGATGAGATACATGCTGAGTACAGAATTACTTCATTAGCTTACAAGCTATTGCATCATTTAGGGCCACTCAATTCAAGGAAGTGGTTATTAAGAACATTTAGAATTAATTTCAGGTGTCTAATGAGTTACACATAGACACCTCTTTACTTAGAAGGGTCTACAAACAGCACATTTCTTGTCCAGAAATCACATAGTGATACTAGCAGACACTTGCTAACAATATTTTAATGCTAGCCAAGGACAAACAGCTGCAGTTTTAAACTATCTCCATAGCATGGTGCCAGTAATATCTCACTCTGCCCTTCAGCTTCACAGTCTCAATTAAACTCATTGCATTAACCCAAACGTGTCAGGACAGTCCCTCCCCAAAACATGGATTCCTGTGACCAGGTGCTAAACATACCACACTGCCACATCATCTACCAGGGTATTATTTCCTTAGCAAGGCAGAAAAAGCAGCCCACACTGCTGCAGTACCTGTATATTTTACATAGCAACAGAATGTAATTTTAGATGAACATGGAGGTCAGCTGATCTGCTTGGGTCATACACCAGACCTACACTAATTTGTGGTATTACAAGGCCTGTCTTACAACATATTAAAACACCTGGGATAAAAGGAGTTCTTGCCCATGATAAAATGGAGCCTGTGGGCTGTTTCCCAGGGATTAAAGAAACTAAGAACTAATCCAGTCTGGACTGGACTTAAATTTACCAGAAAAATCTTAAAACCGCAAAAAGTCTGGGAAAAACCCCAAACAATGTAGCTGCAGCCTAAAGCACTAGTATTCTCAACACATATATTAGCTTGATACATAATAACCTAAAAAGATAAATGCACATCCACAACAAAACTGGCTGCACTGGCTCCACAGGAGCACCAGGAGCTGTGTGGTTGCCAGGGCAGGGTATACCGGGTATTTCAGCACACAGATCATCCCAGAGGAAGGACACAGCTAACTGCAGGCCCTAAGCTCTTACTAAAACTGGTTTTGGTGCCTAACATGAGAAAATCACTCTCCTCCTTACTCTGAAATCTGAAAATCGGTAAAGATGACAAGACTGAGCAGTTTGTTGCCCTCCTCACCTTCCCTGCTCCTGACAGCCTGCTCTTGATGGGTTCAAGGGTGCAGGACAGCACTGCCTCCCTGGCCCCACCACCCAACCGGAGGGTGCTGGAGCAGGAACTGTGGGGTCCATGTTAACTTCAGCCCCTCGGTGACCGGTCATCACAGGTCAAGGGACAACACCACCCTGACGCCAGACAGCAACATGCTCTGCACATGAAGCGTCTTCCCCAGGTTTTGAGAGAGAAGGTGGAGTAGGGGGACCGTGTGTTCTAAGAGCAAATTAATACCCTAGAAACAGTACTCTTAAAACCGATCCGTTGCTATGAAAAGCTTAAGAAGCACATCCGCAGAGGGCAGTGGGTTACACGCGGCCCCTCACAGACCGTACCCCCGTGATTACATAACCTTGGGGGCAGCAGCTGCTCCGTGGGCCCATTTCCATAAACACTTACACACGGACAGCTACTGACTATGAGAACGCGCTAAACTGCACGAGGCCATACGCTTTTCCGTCTTAAAATAAAATGAAATCCGTTCATCTTTCCTTCCAGCTCGGACACCGAGCACAAGCGTCCCCGCACCTGCCCAGGGCCGAGGCACCAGGCACGACCGCGTCTTCGCCCCAGCAGGGAAACGCCAGCGATCAGAGCAGTCAGGGCGGAGGGGGCGGCTGCGGCCCCCGGCCGGGGGGAGGCCGAGCTACAGCACAGCTCCTCCTCACGCCCCCCGGATACCGGCTGTCAGACAACCGCTACCGCCTCCCCCGAGCTCTGCCGGGCCTGGACATCCCCAGCCCCCTAGCCACCGGGCAGGGCAGCGCAGCGCCGTACCGTACCGTACCGCCTGCCGTACCCGTACCTGCTCCGCCGCAGAGCGCACACACCGGCCCGCGCCATGGCCGCCGCCATCTTGCCGCACCAGCGCCGTGCCCTCTGCTGCGTCCTGCGCGTGAGGGCGGGAGACAGTCGAGGGGCGGAGCCAGGCGGGGGCGAGAGGGAGGGGTGGGCGGGGCCGGTGCGGCTGAGGGGAGAGTGGGGTGAGGCGGGATGGGGTGTGAGGGGAGGCCGTTACCTGAGGGCAATATGAGTGTAGGGACGGGACCATTCCTCAGGGCAGATATGGAATGGGACACGGGCACGAGGCTGCACCCGAAGCTGGTGAGGGTTCTCTGCGGGAGTAGTGCTGGGACAGGGCCGGCCCTGAGAAGCCTGAGGGCCATTGCCCATAGTTTGGGGTCAGGGTGGTCCCTGAGGATCTGTGGTATGGGGACAAGGCTGCTCCACAAAGGCAGTGTGTATGGTAGCAGGATACAGCTGTTGCCCAAAGGGAGGTATGGTTAGAGGAGAAGATTGCTTCTTGAGGAGCTGAGGATGAGGCAGTTGGGGTTCAGCTGCTTCTCAGCATTGCTGTTGAGGGGCAAGTAAGTCCTTGACCACAGATGTGGGAGCAAGAGGGATGTCAGGGCAGAAATTATGTGGATGAGGGACACACTTGACACAGGACAAACACAATGCTGCTCCTGCAAGTCAGATGTCGCACAGGGTAGTGCAGTAACATTTGTTCCTACTCTGGTGTCCCTTACCTGGATCCTGGTAGCACAGAGGGGAATTCATAGAGATTATTTGGTTTCCACCCTCTCAGATGCATCCCCTAGACACATGCATGAATGCTGCATTGCTGGGAAGAGGCTAATTACCATTTTCTGAGGCTGTTCTCACCCTATGGGGGTAGTTTCAAAGGTTGAATCAGTAGGAAAAGAATTCCAGAGTCCTGCTGCTGTGTTTCTGCATCCTCAGCGCTTCAGGACATGATCCTCTCAGCAGACCTGATTACGTTTGTGATTAATGCCTGTTTGTTTTCCTGATGGGCCAAAATAAAGTCTACAACACCTTCATGTCATTCTGGTTCTGACATCACCACAGCAGCACAGCAACTGTGTAAGTACCTTAAATGTATACAGGACACCTTTTGGTTTTAAATTTGTAGCATCTGAGCAGAGATCCAGATGCAGCCCTCATGCAATAGCAGTAGTATCAGCTGGCTGAGTTGTTGGGAGGTACATATATTGTGTTCATAATGGTAGGATTGGCAGGAAGTAAAACCTCAAAGAAGGTGGGATTTGATCCTGTTAGGTGCTTTGCTACGAGCATTGCAAGAATCGTTAGCTTTGATGTCTAACTGCGCCCTGCTAGTGGGCCTGACCGACAAGTTTCCCCAGAAGTGATTCAGAAATGATTCAGAGGTTAAGGTGTAGTTAAATGAAACATACTTGTTTATAGTGATTAATGGTCTGTCCCAATCTGATCTTTTTCCCCTAGAATTAAAAGTAAATATGTGGACCTTTAACTATTTTTAAATTACTTTTATCAGGTGTTTTGTTCTTACATTTGTTACTGGTTTTAACATATGACAGTATGAAAAATTATATAGACTGTGCTTACTGAGGAATAAAACATACTTCCCAAAGGGTATGAAGCTGTGCTGGGCCCATGCAGGTGAGCCAAGTCAAAGATTGGACAAATACCACAGTTGTTCTCTTAGCAAATGAGAGAACAGAGATTTTGGGACTTGAGAACATTTGTTCAGGGAGTGAAGGAAGGAATGAGAAATGTAATTGCTGTGATTGGATTAGTGGGAAACGTAACACCTCAACAAATGTTGCAGATCCAGCGAGGGAACTTATGAAATGCAGAGATAAGCAATGGAATCCATGTACCTGAATGCGGAAGAAGCAAGTGGGGAATAAGGACTCTGAATCACTAGGGGAAAAGTACATAAAACAACAAAAGAAATCTGGGAAAACTCTTGGCAAAAACACATGAAGCAGAGAAAGTACTAAGAAAATCTATAAAATGAAGGAAAACAAAATCTGGCAAAAGACTGCATAGTGAATTCTTTCTTGAAAAGGAGAGATGAAACCACATTAGCAGTATTTTATGCATCATATATCTATATATATATTTTGTGTTTCTTTTTCCCTGCTGTAGAATTAATGATGTTAATCATGGCTGCTGTAGAGTAATTAAGAGGTAATACTCCAGGTTAAGTGTTAGAAAACAGGGAAATAAGCCTGTTTGGATGAGACTGCTGTGCTAGAATGGAATGAGGAAAGTCGAGAAAGTCAGCAGTGGCACAGTGCTGTTCTGAATTCTTAGAGAGGCAAAGGACTACTTTTTGTTTAAAGTAATTCAGATAAACCATTATCAGGTGAAAAGATAAGGTAAGAAGGACCTTTCAGTGTTCTGTAGAGTGATATGTTCAGTAGTTTGGACAATTCACTCAGCTTTAGAAATCTTTTTTCTGTGAGATAGATGTCTTACCTATCTCCCAAAGGCATTTTAGTGCGTTTTGAAACAGGAGGAGCACAAGTTAGTTCAAAAGCAGAGGCTTACATGTCCTCCTATGCCTGTTTATAACAAAGCAGAGAATGCATGGTTATTTTCTATCTGTGAATAGGAGCAGGACATTGTCTCTTTCTCTTTTGCATACAAGGATATGCCACCCTCTGGCTTTTTTTCTTAAATCATAGTTTATTCTTGTTGATGCCTAAAACTCCTTTGCTATCTTCCAGAAGCTTTGGTCACCACTGTGGAATTCCTGGTATGAGAAGACAGAGCTCAGGGTAGAGAGAGGATCCTTGCTGAACTGCTGTAATCATGAAGACAGTGATTTTAATTGTCTTAATCATCTTCACTTTGCTGTCTTCAGGTAAGACTGATGCAGAGGGAGAAAATGAAATCTCTGGATGGGTTACCAGGAAGCAGACTCTAATATTTGCTTTGAGTTTGTTTTCTTCTGTGCTAAGAAGTTGCAGCTAGAACTGTGCCTGTGATTTCCATTTGCCTGTATTTTTCCTGTTTGATCATTGGCAGATGGTGACCCAGTTAGTTTTGAAGCAGCTTGATACACTAGTTTCTTAGTAATTCAGTGAAGGTTTGTTTCCCTTGAGTAGCTGAGATCTGCGTCCTTATTAATGATGTCAAATTGAATCAGTGTATTTCAAGCTGCTCCCCTCTAAAACCACAACAGGTTCTTTTTGCAGTAGTGCTGAATTAGTGTCAAAGCAAGTAGGGTACTAATGTCTGATGCTATGCTCAAAGAAATAAAAATGTCCATGTTTTAATTGTAAACATTATTTATTCCAGGAAACTTTTTTGTTTAATATTAATAGATTGACAGAGATCCAAACCCTTAAACATCTGGAAATGGCAATGTTAGAGATGTTGTAGTGTTTTCTATGCATTTGGTCATGTCTTTCACTACATAGTATAAATGTGTCTCGTTACATAATTGCATGCTATTTTAATATATAATAATCACTTTTTTCCTTAAATGTATAGCATCTCCTTGAGATGCTATATGATGATACTTTTCAGAGTAGGCATTTAACAGGAAAAATACAAAATAAGTCATACTACATCAAATATAAAATAATCGGTGCCTAAAGCAAAAGAGGAAATTTTGTTGACATGTCTGGACTCCCTGAAGATGTAGCTTTATAGTCAGTTTAAACCTACCAAACCCCCAGTTCCTCCTGGAAAGGAGGTTTTAGCATCTCCTCCACTGCTAATTGTATCTTCCTTCTGCTGGCACCATTTTATTTTTTTTTTTATTGTTTACTTAGTTTTCAGCTGGAAAAAAGATCTGATAACTGAATAGTGCAGTTCTGCTGCAGTTCTGCACAGTGTTCTTGTGCAGGTTATTTGATCTCTTTGGCATCCAGAAATGAAGATAATTCTCACTAACTTCCTCTTTGGAAGAGATTTTGAGGTTCGTGTTTACTCAGTACTCTGTTCAACACAGTACATGGTTCTTCACTGTCAATAACCAAATTGTCCCTAGTTTGTGTCTTTCATAGTGGGTATTGTCATGGAAGATAAACCTCTCAGTCTTGAGGGGAATCCAGCAAATTACTCATCATTGCTGAGGAAACACTTATGCACTGTGTAAAAGCAGAAGTTCCAGTCACAGAACTGCCATCGTAATTTTAAATAACCCCAGATCTTCACCTCCTGATTGAGGGGTTTGATTTACTCTATTATAAAGTAGCATCTAATTGAGAATTGCTTTCAGCTTAAAATTTTTGTACTTCTCCTTTGGTCTAAGGTTTTCTGCCCCTGGAGCTCTGATGTGGATCTTGCTGTTTAAAATCAGGTAGTATTTGTCTGGAAAGAAAATGGGAAGGAAATGCTATTCTAACAAAGCATAGCCCTCAGTGGGAAATGCTGTTCTAACAAAGTTCAAACTATGTAGCTCAGTGCTGCGAGACACCTGGGACTTGTAACATCAGATATTGTCTGGTGGAAAAACAACAATCCCCTCTCTGAAGACTACATTCAACAATGCTAAGGCAACTTGATTCCCTATCAACATCCTCCCTACATATTTCTTGTTTTTTTGCAGGCTTAGGTCTGAATCTCTAGAACTTCGTGACAGAAATACTAAGATTGGTATGGATAAATTATGCATGAGAATATGTGTGTGTGAAAGCACCAGAGGAAACAGCAGAGCAAAGGTTAAAAGAATGGCCTGTATTGATAACCAAGAACACAGTTGACAGTACTAAAGCTTATAAACCCTGGGGAATGCATAGTTTTCATCAAGATTAGAAATCTTGACTCATTTTTGATCTTACAGGGAAGAAATTCCGATGGTGCACCCTTTCTGACCTAGAGCAGAGGAAGTGTGCTGAACTGTCTAAAGCACTCATGGCTGTGGTGCCCCTTGCTGCTGTCAATTCATTTGCCAGGATTTCTTGCATCAGAGCTCACAACACATATGACTGCATTGATAAAATCAGGGTGAGTTCAGAGAGATTTTTAAAACTGATTTTAGCTCCAAATCCTCTTTTGAGGAAGTAACTGATAAACAGAACCCATGGGAGAATAAAATGATACTGAAATGATGGTATTGCATATATGACAAAGTACTCAGTACTAGCTTGAGAAGCAAGAATTAAAACCCATGAGTATTCTACTAGAGGTACTCTTTACCCCAGCTCACGTCCTTGCAATCACCAGGAAATATGTAAAATGCTGCTTGGACATAGATGGACAAAACCAAACTACTAAATTAAAACTTGCTGAGGGCTTTTGGTCCTACTCTAACTATAATGAAAATTTTCTCTTTCTTCCCTGCTATTTTTAGCATCTCATCAGTCTTTTCTAAAGTAAAGAGCAAAGCCTTTTCTGTATAAAGTTCTTCAATTTGAATCATATTAGACATTAATTTGAATCAAATTAGACAGTAATTTGAATCAAATTAAACAGGACTCTGAGAAGTATCTGGGGTCTTGGGGGAGCAGTAGAAGGAAACAGGGGTTACCTTTTTCTTCAGCTGGCATCAGAATTGTGGTTTTGAGTTGGAAAACTCAGAGGTGAGAAAGGATGTTACTGGAAGTGAACTGGAATTGTTTTAAAGTAACAGCCTTCACTGCTAGCATTTCACCATGCTTAGTGACATGGATTCAATTAAAAAACAAGCAAATACTTGTAAAAATCTCTGGTTACTACTTCTCAGGCAGAAATTCTGCTCTTGGAGCTGCTGTTTCTATGCCTGTAAACACATTTATTTTGAGGATTTTGCTGTTGTTTTTAAGGTGAATAAAGCAGATGCTGTCTCCTTGGATGCTGGAGAAGTTTACTCTGCTGTAAAGCTCTATGGTTTGACAGTTGCGGCAAAGGAAATCTATGACCAAGGTAGGTTCATAAAGCTAAAGAATAAGTTGTATTTGGCTAACAAATTGCTGTAAGTGAAAGGCAAAGTTCTAACATTCTTGAAAAAAATCTGTATGTCTCATTAACTTTATAGGAGTATGGAGGTGACTAACAACTGTTGCTAAAATCATAGAATCATAGAATCATAGAATGGTTAGGGTTGGAAAGGACCTTAAGATCATCCAGTTCCTACCCCCCTGCCATGGGCAGGGACACCTCACACTAAACGATCTCACCCAAGGCTTCATCCAAACTGACCTTGAACACTGCAAGGGACGGAGCATTCACAACCTCCCTGGGGAACCCATTCCAGTGCCTCACCACCCTAACAGGAAAGAATTTCCTCCTTATATCCAATCTAAACTTCCCCTGTTTAAGTTTTAACCCGTTACCCCTTGTCCTGTCACTACAGTCCCTAATGAAGAGTCCCTCTCCAGCATCCCTATAGGCCCCCTTCAGATACTGGAAGGCTGCTATGAGGTCTCCACGCAGCCTTCTCTTCTCCAGGCTAAACAGCCCCAACTTCCTCAGCCTGTCTTCATACCGGAGGTGCTCCAGTCCCCTGATCATCCTTGTGGCCTCCTCTGGACTTGTTCCAACAGTTCCATGTCCTTTTTATGCTGAGGACACCAGAACTGCACACAATACTCCAAGTGAGGTCTCATGAGAGCAGAGCAGAGGGGCAGGATCACCTCCTTCGACCTGTTGGTCACGCTCCTTTTGATGCAGCCCAGGATACGGTTGACTTTCTGGGCTGCAAGCGTACACTGCTTCAACCAACTTCATGAGGTTGGCATCAGCCCACCTCACAAGTGTGTCGAGGTCCCTCTGGATGGCATTCCTTCCCTCCAGCGGATCAACCAAACCACACAGCTTGGTGTCATCGGCAAACTTGCTGAGGGCGCACTCAATCCCACTGTCCATGTCAGAGACGAAGATGTTGAACAAGACCGGTCCCAACACCGATCCCTGAGGGACGCCACTCGTTACTGGTCTCCAGCCGGACATTGAACCATTGTCCACAACTCTGTGTGCGGCCATCCAGCCAGTTCTTTATCCACCGAGTGGTCCATCCATCAAATTGATGTCTCTCCAATTTAGAGACAAGGATGTCGTGTGGGACAGTGTCGAACACTTTACACAAGTCCAGGTACATGCCATCAACTGCTCTACCCCTGTCCCTCAATTCTGTAGCCCCATCATAGAAGGCCACCAAATTGGTCAGGCAGGATTTCCCCTTAGTGAAGCCATGCTGGCTGTCACCAAGCACCTTGTTGTTTTTCATGTGCTTTAGCATGCCTTCGTGGAGAATCTGCTCCAAGATTTTGCCAGGCACAGAGGTGAGACTGACTGCTCTGTAGTTGCCTGGATCATCCCTTTTCCCCTTCTTGAAAATGGGGGTTATATTTCCCTTTTTCCAGTCATCGGGATCTTCACCTGACTGCCATGAATTTTCAAATATGATGGCCAGTGGTTTAGCAACTTCATTTGCCAGCTCCTTCAGGACCCATGGATGGATTTCATCAGGACCCATGGACTTGCACGCGTTCAAATTTTTAAGATGGTCTCGAACCAGATCCTCTCCTATAGTGGGCCCAAGGTCTTCATTCTCACTGTCCCTTCATCTACCTTCCAATACTTAGTGATGGTTAGTAAAATATCAGTGGTGTAGTCTTTCTGCCTAGACAGGCTACTACCTAGGTACTGGTGCTGTCAGATTGTATCTACCTCTGCTTGCAGCACTAGTGTATACCCAAGTTCTACGTCTTGCAGGGAATAAGAAAGCTTTTGTTCATCTGTGTCAGTTCTTATACCATGCTCTTAACTAGTGTAACCAAGCATTTACTAGTTTTCTTTAAGAGATTAGCTTTTCTCACCATTTAATTCTCTCCTTCACACCCTAAAGAGACAAAAATATAAGATGGAAAATCTTGTTATGGTAAGATTCCTCTTCATTCCTGGCAGACGTAAATAGTGTCTGCAATGAGTTGTAAGGCAGGAATAAGTAACTTTGAGCCAAAATCTAACAGGGAGTAGAAAATACTTCTAAGACATGAATCTGAGAAGGAAGCCAAATTAGCAGATGGATACAGGAAGAGACTAATAAGGGGACACTATGAGAACAGAAGCGAATTTTGTTTTGTCTGAAGAATTGTGAAATCATAGTGGAATGTGTTCTGAGGATAAGACATATGAGTTCTTTCCATTACCATATGTAAACAGTGTGATACAAGTCTTCAAAAGTGTTGAGAAGCAATTGCATAGGGTGATGGAGTGGGATCATCTTGTAAGCCTTTTACACCAGGTTTTTATGTTCTTCTTCACACATCACTTGCATTGCTCAGTTTGACACAGTGCCATGTAGCTGGTAGGTGATAAATTTCTTGGCATGAGTACCTATGTTTCATATGCCTACGGTTATTTTTTTTCCTTAGCCATGTTCACAGAAGTAGTGGAAGTCCTGTACACAGATGGAAGCTGCAATACTGGGGTTTAGTTATTTCTGTTGCATATTTTGTTTTATTCCAGGAAATTGTGTGTTTGCTGTGGCCATTGCCAAACGAGGAACTCTGGATATCCGGAGGCTACGAGGTGTGCGCAGCTGTCACAATGGAGCCAGGTGGACTTCCGGCTGGAATATTCCACTTGGCTTTCTTCTTGCAAGCAATTATCTTTCCTGGGATGAGGAGCAACCTCTGAGTCAAGGTGGGTGATAGGAGCCATAGGGTTATGTCTCTGCTCTCAGCAAAAACAAGTGAGTTGCAAGCAGATGTGGAATGAGCTCAACTATGTGGAAATTGAAGGGCTTTGTGGGTGAGGTATCCTCTTGGAGTGTTTTTGATACTGGCTCTTAGTTCTCTTCAGAACTTTTCTAGTGATCTCAAAGCAGCAGAATTGTTACCAAACCGGGAAATCTTTGCCTTCTGTATACAACAGGGAACAAACCTTTCCAATATCCAGCCAGTATAAAGATGGTTTTAAACAAGAAATATCTGATCACATTTTCCAGTAAATGTTTCAGATTTGAAGTTCAGACAATGAAGCTGCATCCACTGATTTATTTATTGATTTATTTATCACTGTAGTCCTAGTTATGTCCATGATATGTTTGGCTGCTTTTCCTTCTTCTGTTTTTCCCATTTGACTTTTTTTGCATCTCCCTTCCCCTATATCTGCAGTAGTCAGTGAGTATTTCAATGGAAGTTGCATCCCTGGGGTTGGTGTTGCTGCTCCTCAACTGTGTGCTCTCTGCCAAGGACAAAAATCCTATGTCAGAGACAAGAACCACTTCTGTGAGACGAGCAGTAATGAACCCTTTTATGACTCTGAAGGAGCCTTCAGGTGAGCTCTGTGACATTGGTCCTGAATTTACCTTTAAGGAAAAAGAATTTGTGAGGGAGGAAAAAACAGATAGCATGTTAATAGGGTGGCATTTTTCTCCCTGCAGGTGTTTGAAGACTGGAGTGGCAGATGTTGCCTTTTTAGATCATCTAACAATTATGAGTGCTACAGGTAACCTTAAAAAATCAAATTAATTTTAACTTCTGACTGTAGTCTTTCCTGAGTTGGGGGAATATGCCTGGATTTCCTGAGTGGGGAATATGCTTGGATTTTTGTTGTTTCCAGGGAAAATTCAATCCTTGCAAGCAGTTCAGTGTATTTCTTGGCTCTCCACCTAAGTCAGAAGGAAACAGAAGAGGGAAGAGTAAGTGAGCAGTAATTGCTCACAAGAGTTTCTCAGGGTGGGAGCAGACAGATGCTTTTATACAGGTGTTTTTTTTAGCCTGAAGTGTCTGACACAGCTGTCAGTATTTGTATTACCTGAGTTATAAGATTCCTTTTAAAATTCAGTGTATTTTGTTGCTGGAATGTACCATTCCTGTTTACCTTGTTTGTATTTTAAACATGGTCGAGGTCTGTACTGACATTTTTGAAGGTAGCTTTAGTATTTGCAGGTAAGGATTCTGAAACAAATGTATGTACAGGGGTACAGCTAAAGAGTATTTTTGAGTATCTTTGGCTGAGGTCCCTCTCTTTAAGAGAAGAGCATATCAAAGACAGCCTTCCCAAGCTGTGTGCTGCCTACATAGCCTTTGAGCAACCTCCTCTGAAAAATGTTTTGCCTTCCATCTCTGTGCCTGCTGCCAAGTCACATATCACTTCATGGATTCATGAGTGTTCTCTTGTTTCAGAGTCAGAGCAACAGGAATATGAACTCCTATGTCCTGATGGGACTACAGCTGAGCTAACTGAGTACAGCGTCTGTAACTTGGGCAAGGGGCCTGGACGTGGCATCATCACCCGGCACAACTTCCAGAAGATCACCCATAAATTTCTCACCATGATCCAAGTGAGTGGATATGATGAGTTGTGTACCTCCAGAGACAGGTTTTTCTTCCATCTTTGTGTAGAGATTATCATGCAGTTTGCCTTTTCTTCTTGAGAAATTTGTAGTTAGTGTGAACAAATCACTAAAAATTTATTGTTCTGTGGAGGGATCCTGCACTGGCTTCTGGCAGGTTTTACTCTTCTCTAAGATGTTCTTCTCTAGAAAGCTGTGAATAAAAAAGTAAAGATGCTATAACACCCAAACTGAAAAATGGCTAATTATGTTCATTCTGCCCTGCAACTTGAGTAAATTCTTACATAGCTGCATGGGTTCAGGCAGGATTCATCTTTATTCCTCTCTTTTTCTCAGCTTATAAATAGTATCTGTTATCTTGGCATCCAGGAATCTGTTTGAAGCTGAACCTGAAATGCATATTTAAATGCAAATTTAAAGAATTTATGGAGCCATCTGGCCCTTGAAATAGTCCAGTAGTATCCTGGTTTTGGCTGGGATGGAGTTAATTTTCTCCTTAATAGCTGGTCCAGTGCTGTGCTTTGACTTTAGTATGCAAATAATGTTGATAACACAGTGATGTTTTAGCTGTTGCTGAGCAGTGCTTACTCTAAATCAGTGACTTTTCAGTTTCCCATGCTCTGTAAGTGAGCAGATGCAACAAGAAGCTGGGAGGGAGCACAGCCAGAACAGCCGATCCAAGCCAGCCAAAGGGGTATTCCATACCAGAGAACATCACATTCAGTATATAAATTAGGTGGAGCTGGCCAGGAGCCACAGATCACTGCTTGGGGATGGGCTGGGCTTCAGTCAGCAGTTGGTGATGTGTTGTGTATCATCTGTCTTTCTTGGGTTTTATTCCTCTCTCTTTTATTTCTTTTTATTCTTTATTTCGATTATTAAACTGTTCTTATCTCACCCCATGGGTTTTTACCTTTTTCCAATTTTTCCTCCCCATCCCACTGGGGGAAGATGAGTGAGTGGCTGTGTGGTACTTTGTTGCCAGCTGGGGTTAAATCGTGACAAATAAACAGTGAATAATGTAACCCAGTGTGCTTTTCCTCTGAGTGCTATGTTACAAACCATTGCTGTGAAGGGACCAAAGGATGGGGCTGACTGTTACTGGAAGGATGAGCAGATTTGTTGCAATTAAAAGGTTGTTCTTGTTCTAGCGCCTCTTTGGGCGAAAAGGAAAGGAAAGAGCTAGGTTTGAACTCTTCACTTCAGCACCCTTTGGGGGAAAGAACCTGCTGTTCCAGGATGCCACTCAGCACCTACAGCTTCTTGAGGAGCAGCTGGAGATTGCCTATGTCCTTGGTCTGGACTATGTATCTCTCCTTAAGGGACTAGGACATGAAGGTGAGAAGTCTTCCAGAGATCTGTAGCTAAGGAAAGGGAAGAAAAAGTTCACTTTCCATGTTATTCCTCCCTGCCAGGCACAAGTGCAAAGGCCTAAATGTCCCCTTAACATAGGTGCACGGGTGACATGATCTCACTGTGCTCCTTTCTTCTAATTCAGGCAGCTCTTTGGACAACAGCATTGTGCGCTGGTGCTGCATCAGTGATGCTGAGCTTCACAAATGTGAGGAGTGGGCACTGAGCATCAAATCTGACCCACTGGTCTGTGTCCAAGCAACTTCCATGACCAAATGCATTGAAATGATCAAGGTAGGAGACTCCCTCTAGTCAGACTATATGATAAGGCTGCACAGAGTGCATGTGTCCTTGCATGAGCTGAACAAGATGAAAACCAGCTTGCACTGTAGAGGAGCTAGTGGGAATGAGAGAGAATTTCCAGCCAGTGGGGAAGTCCAGCTGCTTGGTTACACAATTCATGCAAATCCTGTTTTTGTTATTTTCTATAATGCTGTTGGCAGAGTAGTGAGGCTGATGCAGTCACCCTGGATGCAACACATGTCTACATTGCAGGAAAGTGTGGATTGGTGCCTGTAGCTGCAGAATGTTATGGTAAGTTCTCATGTGACCTTAGCAAGAAGGGAGGGAATCAAAAGAGTATTATTAAAAATGTAGGTACATCTGTACAGTTTGTGATGGAAGCTGGAATTAATATATATGTTCAAATACTTTTCCCAGCTCTTTCACTAATTGGCTCTGGCATTTGATCTGGCTGTTTGTTTATTGTATCTCTGTAAAACGGACAGAGATGCTGTCGTGGCTCAAAAGGATTGCAAGTTTTTTGATGAGTTGCTGCTGATTAATAGGAATGACAGCAGTCCCAAGATCCTTAGTGGTTGTCTCTCCTCTCCAGGGGGAGATTGTGCCCAGGCTGCTGAGAGCATGGGGGAAATGAGGAAGCTAATTCATCTGAAGCGCAAAGGTAACAGGACAACTTTGAGAAGGCAAATGGTTTAGATTTTCCTGCAGTTGCCTCTAGGATTTATGTAGGAATGTATTCACATGTTGGTTTGGGAAAGAATTTGCTGTGCTTGCTAGGAGCTTTGCAGGAAATGCCAGGCAGCTAGGACAAGAGCTTTGTCATTAAGCAAAGAATGCACATCCAATACCTTAACTGGAGATATATGACAGCATGAGAGGGGCAGGAGGGGGGCTGTACCTGTCTGGAATACTTAATTGCCTTGATATAAGTGGTTGTTGTCATTATTTTACAGCACTGCCACCTGTTTATGCTGTTGCACTAGCTAAGAAAAATGCCAAGCAGATTAATATCCATAATCTTAGGGGAAGGCGATCCTGCCACAGCCACCTGTATAGTCCTGGAGGATGGTTACTTCTTTCCAGATATGCATTGAGAGCTCTGGAGAATGACACTGAGAGCTGTGATATTGGCTCTGGTAAGGGCTGCTCTTGGTTATTTGTTGACTAGACCATGGGAACCTGAAGTCCAAAATCTGGGAGTAAAATGGAGACAGGGACATGAGGATTTGACCAGCAAGCGATGATTGCAGTGTTAGAGGGTCTTGAAGCAGCTCTTCCTCTTATCTGACTACATGTGATTCTTTAGCTGACTTCTTGCTAGCTGTTGGGATGGAATTCGATTCCTGTCTTTTCTTGTGTATGAAGAGGCTTTGGAAACACCTTGCCTTAATCTCACCTCAGTTTTCTTTACTCAGCTTACCAGAATTACTTTTGGAAGGGCTGCATGCCAGGAGCAGATGGAAACCTGTGCAAGGTGTGCATTGGAGATGGTGAGGTGGAAGGGGCTCGAGTATCTAGCAGATGTGCTGCAAGTCACAATGAACGTTACTATGGCAATATGGGAGCACTCAGGTAAGCTTTTTGTCAGTCAGAAGTACAGAGCAATAGCCAGAACTGGCTTATTATTTTGCTGATGGTTTTCTTTGGAGCCTTTTTTGTTAAGCAGCTGGCTGTGTAAACCTTTGCTAGCATGTATTTTATTTTTGTTGCAGTTGCTATGGGATGTTCATCTGAATGGTAATTTAGAGCAGTCATGAAAACACCTTAAGAGCAAAACAGTGCTTCCAAACATGTAAGGCTCAGAGTATTGGTACTGACTCGTTAAAGAAAAGGGATGAAAGATAGTTAGAAGGTTAGAGAGCAGAGGTGATCTGGTAAGAAGCAATGGAAGGTACAGGAGGTAATTAAATAAATGGGAGATAACAAAATAGTTGAAAACAGGCAGAGAAGAATATTAAAGGTGAAAGCACTCTTATAAAACATATGTAATGCATTTAGTTGAATTACATTCTCTTTCCTGACTAGGTGCAGGTGATGCTGCATAGACATTTTGCCACATCTTTGACTTGGGAGTTTCTTTAAGGGATGGAAGGGATTGTCTTAGCAAACATGTGAATACTGTCCACTAAGGTCTATAATGATATCACTAACTTGTTCCATATAACAACCAAGTAATTACAGATGAGGGGGATGCTCCAGCTGCTCCTGGTTTAGTTTCAGAAGACTGTCCAAATGTCAGTCATAGTGTAGTGGCTGTCTCCAATAACTTCTTGGGTTTTTTTCTTCACTAGGTGCCTAGTTGGCAATCCCAGTGGAAGAAGCTTCGGAGATGTAGCTTTCCTGGAACATTCTAACCTCCTCCAGAACATAAAGAGTGAGATGCAGATGTTCTCTTTTCCTTGAGAATGTTCATTAGTGCCAGTTACTTCCCACACACTCAACCATCACTCTTGAGGATCAGCTTATACAGGTTTAATCTAGGTCCACGAAGTTGTGTTTGTGACTGGAAAATTGAAGAACATTCCTGCATGTAGGTCTTCTAGTAAAGCTTAAAATTTAGATACCTTTCAGTTTTGGAGAGGAAAGAGGAAGAACCACTGAGTGCAAAGAGCAATGTGTGTTTTGTGGGGGTAATAATCCTTGGAGACTGCACTAATTTTTTTAAAGCTCGAAGCTTTAAAAAGCAAACATTTTTTCTCACCAGACCTTCTCCCATAGGCAGCCATAGTGCATGGACCTGTTGTTTGTAATCAGAGTTTCAAGAACAATAATGGCAGATAAGGGCAGTGCTGTGGGCACTTTGTGCTGGGAGAAGTTCTATGGCTTCATCATGACAAAGCAACTTCCTCATGTTGTTTCACAGGCCTTTATAGAATAAACAGTCCAAATAGCTTAATAGCTGAAAATACTGCAAATTATTTTGCCTTTCAGTTTCTGAAACAATGTTGTTACTACACTGTGAAATGTTTAATTTCCCCAGGGAAATACTGATCTTTGCAACAGTCTAGCAATTGGGTTTTGGTTTCGGTAACTTAAATCCCCTCAATCTCTTGAATGATGCCTACTGTTCTGTGAAAATATGGTGCCTCTATGTAGAGTTGGAGAGAAAGGAAACCCCCATTTTGTTCAGCCTCAGAAACAGAATGAGGGTTGCTGTTTTAGGCAATCTCAGTAACAGAAGAGACTTTCCTAACAGAGGAATCTCTAAAATCAAGTGGAGGTATAAGGGCCTGAAACCCACAGGAATTCATGCAGATATGAGTGGTTTGTTTGAGGAAGCAAAGGACATGCAGGCTGAATTGCTTTCTTTTCAGAAAGTGATCTGATTACAGATGAAAATGAGGCATGATAAGCTGTTCATATGCCTTGATACTACTCTATTTGAGAGGTGCAGCTTAAGTTCACTGACCTGTTTCCTCAGTGAAAACACTACCCTGCTCTTTATGCGTTCCTAATAAATGACAATGTGGCTGCATTTGTTTGAACATACTAACTAAACTCCTTCCTCTCAATTTTAAACATTTTGCATGAGATTCACCCTGTCTTCTACTTTCATTTTTAAAAAGGATTTGCTTTCATTTCATCTTCTTTTCAGATCTGGATATTTCTGGTTGGGCAAAGGGCTATACCCCTATTGACTTTGAACTCTTGTGTCCGGATGGAACACGTGCTGCAGTCACAGAATGGGCAGGCTGTAACCTTGGCCCCATTCCCCCCAGCACAGTCATGACTCGACCGGTCACTGTCACTAAAATCTATGACTTTCTAATGAAATCCCAGGTGAGACAGGTAACTGGGAAAAAGTTAGCATGTTATCACTTGTTATGTACAACTGCTGAAAACCCTTTCAAGATCAAATGCTTTTATATCCTAAATTCATGAAGTGTCTTCAAAGTCAATATGAATTAAGAATGTATGTAGGAGATTGAGAGAATAATTATGTGGATTCTCTAAAGGGGCAATTTGGCAGCAGTTGCCATTCCCCAGTGGTTATACTTCTGCTGAGAAATAGGGTGCTGCAAAACTGCATCTTTTTGTACACCAGCTAAACCTTGCTATTTGTGATCCAAGCCGTGGAACTTGTTTCTTTTCTCTTTAGGAATCTCTGGGAAGCAAATTGAATTCTGAATTCCAACTCTTTCAATCATGGAAGTATGGTGAAAGTGATCTGCTTTTCAAAGACACTACTCAGTACCTTGTTCATGCCAGTCACATGAGCTATCAGGAAATTCTTGGAGTGCCTTTCTTTCAGCTGGCAGAATCAGTGTTTAACTGTACACCTGCAGGTAAAGTCAAGTTCTTAGTTTTGAGTTAGGGACAAATGCAAAGCAGGAAGTCTTCTGTGCATAGCTATTGTCCTTTTGGTTAGACCAAATGGAGAAGTTATGTTCTACATAATCCTGTTAGTAACAATTTTCCAGGGAGTACTGTGTTTGGAGCTTCTTTAGAGCCTGTTAAAACTCCTATCCGAAAGCACTAAAACTGGAGCTCTGAAAGAACAGAGTAACTAATATATCATAAAGGTGAGGTTACTGAAATAGGACTGGTTTATCCCCACTCTGAAATTTTTCCCTTCAGTTGCAAAGATCACTTCTGGGAAAAGGGAATATAGTGTTCATTTGGATACGCTAAACTTGGGGAAAAGATAAATTTTATATTCAATTCTTGACTTAATCTCAAAATAACTTAATAGCCTTTTTAAAAAGAGCACACTAGAGAATGCAAGATCAAAACCTTTACAAACGTAAGGGATGGCTTTTTCATTATTTTCCACTGAAAGCTGTATGAAACATGCACTAAGCTATCACTAAAACTGTCCATGAACCAGTATCAAGCTGTTCTGAGACCTGAAAATCTGCATTGAAGTAAATGAAGATTATAGTTAGTGAGACTTCTGTGAGTCTAAGTTAAAGAACTTCAATTCAAAAGGGGAATTTTACCTCTGTTCTGCTGATTTAGTGAACAGTATTTGAAGAACTTGTTCTTTTTAAAAGCCGCTAGCATCTTTAAGTGTATACTTTCTTACTGGTTTGTAGGCATCTTAGACTTCTGCAAACAGGATATCTGTGCATCTTCATCGAACTGACAGTTAATAAGAGGCTTTGCGAGGCACATACATCATCGTTGATATTGAAAACAGGGAAAGCTGGAAGTCCAACCTATCCAAAGCAATCAGCAAGGAGCAGCAGAGGCCAGTCTGCATAACCTGCACAGAACTAGCATCAGCAATCCTGTACAGCTACTAAGGAGAAACCAGCATTTTTGTGGAAATAGCAGGGCCAATACCATGGACTAAAATACAGACTGTCAGGAGTGGCACAGGTTAGTTGGTAGCAGTTTCCCTTGCTTATCTTATAAATGAAAATAAAATCAACTGACATTTTGGTAGTTGCAGCACTGTCCTCTTCCATCCATGGTTTGGTTGCGGCTAGATAGTCCTTGCTGAATACCCATATATGCTATAGGTTGTATATGTAATTGCTATCAGAAGTAGTCTTTTCTGCTTTTAACTGGGAAGAATATATTGCTTTTTTAACCAAGGATTTATATCAGTAAATCAAAATATTTTTCTCTCACAAATTAAGCAGAATTAATCCAGCAGAACTGGATGCTTGCAGCCTTCGGGTGAAGGAAAACAATGGCTATTCATCCTTGTCAGTATCTCCAACCATTACTGTTGTAGTACTTTAGCACTTTGAATCTATGATTCAAGTGTCAAAACATGATATCTGAATTAAACAACATTGGTTTTATAAGCAGAAACTGCCTGAACATTATATAAAGCCTTTTGAACAGATTGTATCATATATTCATTTTGCTTGTTGGATAAAGATTTAGAGTGTATGGCTCTTCATAGGCAGGGCTTATTTCATTTGCAAGAGCCTTCTGGTCCCATGCATCTGAACCAGGCAAGGTTGAGATTTTTTTATTAAAGGGGAGAGGGGAGAAATCCTTCACCCCAAACTTTCCAGTCCTTTTTACATCTATTGCAGTTGTATTAACCTCAGCTAGTAATAAATGGGATGCAAATAGTGAAGACAGGCCAGCTGCAATGAAGTCTGTATCTGCCATATAAAGCAAAAAAACATACCTCCCCCCCCCCAACCAGCAGTGCAAGGCAGCAGTACTCAGTTGTAAAGTACACTGTCAAGCATACCTGCTTTTAAAGTTTGTTCCATGCTTAGCTGCTTTCCTGCTGTTTGACTTAGTCACCCCTCTCCTCCCCCTTTTCAATTCCTGAGAAAGAAAAACTTTGCATTGTGACCAGCAGCAAGGGTTTAGCTTCAGTGCCTCTTAGCTGAGCCTGTTCTCTCAGTCGTCCCATTTTTGACATTGACTAATCAAACAACAGAGAGAGGGGATACAAGGCCAAACTCGTCTGCCTTGCAGAGAAAAAGGAGAGAGCTACATGGTGAAAAAAACAAGTCCTAGTATAGTAACAGCAAAATCCTCGTAATGTGTTGCAGCCAGCAAGCTGTAACCCTGAAGCAGCAGAACAGGACGATGCTTGTTTAGGTCTCTGAGGTGCTCCCTTCCTTTCTTTACTGGAGCTTACATGCCATCTGCGGGAGCCACGTAACACTGCACCTCAGCCAGAGGAGTTCAGGGAACACCGGAGAAACGCATCTGCCAGCTTAGTTTTGCCAAGAGCAGCGTGAAGCTGAATAGCAGCAAATTGAAAGATCTGGGTTATACATAGAATTTATGGGTTAGAGGGACAGGGACGTTGTTTTCTGGCATAGATATTATAGATGTTTAATAGACCTTTTTGGTGTTCTTATGCTTCAGCTTTGGTTTAAAACATCAGTCTGATGCATTGCACAAGCTGTAGTGCATAAGCCACTAGCCTGCTCCAGCCTTGAATTTGTTCTGAACCTAGCAGGATCTGTCTGTGCTCTCTTAATACCTTAAGAAAGTGATGGATGCTCTCTGAGAGCTAGAATCATGCCTAAACTTCCCCGGATCTGTTTCTGTTCCTGTTGAAGTGTGGGTATGGATGAGACAATACTAGAATTGCTGCTCCATGGTCTCACAAAGAGCCCACCCAGTTACTTAACAGTGTTTAACCTTTGTGAAGATCTGAGCTTTTCCTCACACATATGCAAGACAGATATATCATGCATATTTACTGATACAAGCCTAACAAGGCCTTAAAAAAAACTGAAAGGTTCTCAAAAATTTATTCCATAAATTAAAAACACACACAAAAGAAACAGTAAAATTTTAGATTCACACAATATTGAACAGAAACAAAATGCCAAGAGCACGATGGAGGCTAATGGCACAAGTGTACAAATTCTCATTGAGCTATTTAACTTGATAGCATCATACAGACTTTTAATCCACAGTTACCATCCATATTCTAGAAGAGCACCTGGAACATAATATACCAAAGGCCCACCTCAAATCAAATACGATAAATGAGAACTGCTTGCAGAAAATCATATTCAGCAAGCATCAGAACGCAAATGTATGCAGCCACAAGGGTAGCCAGGCAAATGATGCAACATCCGCTAGGTAGCCTCAGCTGCTCCAGTTGTAGCATGATGAAAATAAGATGATTTATTTTTTGTGAAAAGTGATCTTATTACCTCCCATAACCGGCACATTTAGCAAAGAGCTGCCTGGCTCTGCAAAACCTCCTACTAAGAGACAGGACGTGGCAAAAGCTTTGCAATTCTCAAGCTGCTTTTGTCATCAGTCTGTGAGCAACACCTACAGTGTCTTTCCATGATAATACAAACAAAAAAAAAAAGAAATCCTCACTGGAGTAGGTTCCCTTTATGAAAAGGCAAATGTACATGTCCTTTAGATATATGCAGGACCCCAGAAGATGCATCCTCTATACTTGTTTCTTTCAATTGTCCGGGACAGAAGCAGCTCAGAGTGGCAAATACCTGGCTTTTGCACAGCCATCACTCCCAGTGTACAAGCAGCAGCCACAAGGAACAAGACTGTTCCACAAATGCTGTAAACAGGAACAGAGGTGGGAAAGGAAGAAAGAAAAAGTGCACAAGCATGGCTGACATCTGTATGCTGGAGGGGCAGAAGAGATGCTTTGTCTAAGTAAGCTTACATCATCATACAAATACTAAACCAAAGAGAATAATGCTGTGTATTTAGGTTGCCACAAACTAAGGTCTGCGACATGCTAGGCAACTGCAACATCATTTTGTAACTCCAATTATTGTAAACAAAAGAGAATCTAATGCTTCCACTGCTCTGCTAAGAACGCTAAGAAATGATATTTCAAAGCAATCAAAAACAAGACGGAGCAGGGAAGCAGACCAAAAAACCCCCCTCAAAACAAGAAACCCCACAACCCAAAGGAAAAAACACATTCCATGATCTGAAGCACATTAGAGGTCTGAACTTTGCCTGGACCCAAATTTCCTCCCACCCCACCCATACCCGTTTTCCTTTAAAGCCCCAGTAAGATTCAGCTCAATTGTGTCACAGCACTAGAAGCCTCCCACATAAATGGGAGATGAATGAATGCTGTGTAACAATCCCATTCTGTAGCATACAACCATAAAAATATATATCTCACTCTTGCAACAGCTTTCAACCAGTCAGTAATTAGGCTAATAAAAACCAATATAGGGAAAGTTTCAAACACTTTTTTAAAAGGCAGTTGACCTTTCGATTTTTAGGGATTTCTTTGTACAAAAATAAAGAGGATCAAAGTGTTGTACAGCAGCCCCAACAGGTTAACCAGACCCTCCTGCTGCAATTGTATGCCACTATGTTCAAAGTTTGCCTGCGTTATTTTACCCTCAAAACTCAAACACCACTCCTTGAAGTGTGCACTCCTCTCTTCTCTAAAGTCTTCCTGATTAAAGACAACTGGCCTTCAGAACAAGAATGTAAACTTCCAGGAATCCCAGCACTTAAGCTGGGAGGAAACAAGCCCAAGTTACATTTCCTTCGAGATTCAGCACACAGACTGTAATACTCCTCTTCTATTTCTCCACTTCCAAAGCTCTGGAATTTAACACATCACTTGTTAATTTTTAGTTTTCTGTTCAGTCAGTAACAGAAGTGGTAAAGCAACAGAAGATAATGATGGTATCCTCAGTCCTGCATTTATTTGACTTCACTAAAAATACCCACCCACTAGACACTTGCTTAGTTTGAAGGTAAATAGAAACTCTGTTCTATGGGTAGGGAAATAAGAAAGTGCAAGTTTCAAGTGACAAGTGAGAGAAAGAACAGAGTAATTTGAGCATTCCAGCAATGACTGCTTTGCCTGAATAACTTCTATAGGCACTAAAGGACAGAAATTACCTGAACTGCAGCTAGCATTCATTTTGAATTATGCTTCAAGTAAGTGTGAAGTTATCCCAAGAGCGGAGCTCCCTTCCCTCACATGGTATAGCTGGGAAATTGCCCAGTGCTGCATCAGATAATTAGAAATGGCCTTACATAATGAAACAGAAAATTCCACATGCCAGGAGGCTCTTTGAACAACACTAGCTGTTATGTACAACAGTGCTGTTATACATGTTTAATTATGAGCTACATGAATTAATGAATTGTAAATCTAAAATGATAGAAAACCCTCTCAAGATAGAAAAAAGATTTATTTTCTTGTTGGCATTAAAATCAAGTTGGTATTTTTAATAGAATTAAAATCACTTAAAAATGAGCCTCAGATTTTGCTGGTGTTCCCTGCATGCAGCAGCTCAGCTCAGTTAATAAAAATCTTTACTTATGTATCCTGCAGCTTAACATCCTCATGGGCTAATTACCTTTTCCTCTGGAGGGAGAGGCTGCCATCAACCAGGTAGGTAACAACTCTACTATTAGGGAAAAATTAGTACTGGGCACATTTTTTTCTTACAGTATTACCTTTTTTTTGAGCTCAGACATATTAAAATATGTCCTCATACAGCAAATAAAGAAACATATACAAAGTGCAAGTTATTTAAAATCTAGTTATGTGGGGCTTCTGCTGCCTGAAGCCAGGAAGGGCAGAGAAACTCAGAAGGAACCTTCTAAGTAAACAGAAGGAACAAACAATTGAAAGCAAACCCAGACAGCTACTTTTAATTATTAAAAAGTTAGTGGCATATCAAGAATGTGTTTGCTAGAATTTATCTTTATCAAATACCATATCTCTTCTGTCAGGTTGTTCAAAATAGCCATTACAGTAACAACAGCAGACTCAAATGTGCAAATGATCTGAAGTTCAGAGTTCTAGCATCACTGAAGGTGCACTACTTCCTCCTTTATACTCCTACTCTACCCCCCATAAAGTATTTAAATGTAATTAAACATTAGCAGTAATTTCCAGGGGCTGGGAAAGGAATGGTAAATTGGATGCGGCTGTGTTACACTCAGACAGGGACCTAAAAGAATCCCTTCAATAGCATAAAAAAAAATAATAACTTAAAGAAAAACCAAACAAAATAGCACCTTAATGAGGGCCACAGCCAAAACCAGCTCATCACATATTAGAGCAGAGTGGCAGAGTAATGTATGAAGAAGTCAGTAGGTTTCTCCCGAAAAGACTAAAATACTAAAGGAGCTGACTGGACCATTTTCAGCTAAATGGCTCCCTCAGAGGCCTGCTCCTGTTCAGCCTCATTTGCAAAGAAGGCATCAAGGTCCATTAGCTTCTGACTCAGAAGAGCATCTAACTCTGCACTCGGGAGTGCAGCTTTTTTTGCCCGGGTGAAACTACCCACTGCTTTGATTTTGCCTCGTCTCTTCCTTTTCCGAGGAAGAGTAAAGTCCTGAAACTCCAGAATCCGCTTCCTCTTCTGCTGGCTGACAGAGATCAAGCATCCATTTTTCTCCTTGGGCTCTTCAAAGATTGTTTCCAAGCTCCTAATAAAAGCAAAGGATAGAACCAATGAATACTCAGGGAGCAGATAACCACCTTACCAGGACAGGAAGTCCAGTGGATTTTATAACCCAAGTAAACACACTTCCAGCTTTTACATTCTTACAGTTCCTTCACACCTCTTGTAATGTGTACTTGCCTACAGTGTACACCTCCTGCAACTGCACATTACTGCTAGCTAAATAACCTGTTATTGGTGCACAGATTGGGTTGCTTTCAGTCCAAAAGCACAATTACAGAAACAGTAGAAGATCAGATTTTTGAACTTTCCCTACCACTTTAAATGAGAGCAATTTAAAAGATTTATCTCCCTTTTAGCTTTCAGACACCTTTAATCTCCTTTCTCTCTGCCTAAGTAATGCACATTTATCTTGGTTTTCTCATCAGAAAGCAGAACCAACCTGGCTGGAGGAGGGGACTTGTAGTTCTTGTTTGTGTAAATTTCTTCTAAGCTAAATTCTTTCTTCTTAAGCCTGAAAGTGTAACGAAGAAATCAGTCAAGGAAGAAGAATTTCAAAACTACCTCTCTTCACAACAAGCAGGTTTACAAGAGCCAGTATGAGTCCATTTATAAGAGACTGCTTACCTTTTTGGTTTGGGTAATCCCATTGGAGTAAGGTTAGGGTCTGGCTTAGGAACAGTTTTCCTGATTGGGATTTGTGAGACTTTCTTTGGCCTCTTTTCTGGCTCAGTCTTAAGAAAGAAAAAGGGATAAAGACAGGAGAAAAAGTTAAAATGAAGGAAATAACAACCATACTAGTCAATAGAATTCCCTTTTGAGCGTACATTATCTATAGAATAATCATTCCTCTTTGCTTTGCCACCTCCATTCTGCTTGAATAAAAGGAAGAAGCATCACAGACTAGGCATAGCAGCCTGTTTTCTCTCCTCATCTTTAACAGTTATTAGACAACATTCAGTAGCAAGAACTTCAAGTTCTGGGGAACCAAGAGCCCGAGACACCTAAAATCTAAAATGAACTCACTTTTTCCAGTTCTTTGTCATCCTGGGATCTAAGACAGGCTGGAACAGAAGCATCACCTCTATCAAGAGCATGGACCTGGAGTTCAGATGCTGGAAGCCTGGGGGGAGATGGCGATGATTCCAGATGTGAGCAAGGCTTAGGTAATGGAAGAGGGAATGAAGTTTCCAGACTGTAACAGAGAAAGAATGGAACATATTAGATTAATACCCAATTTATGCTACAACAGCATACCATGCTCTCAGGTGATATTCCTAAATTGCAATATGAGGACAAAAAGCAATGCAGTTCACAGTAATTGCCCAAGTGAGTGAACTCTTTCTGCAGTACAGTTAAAAGTTTACAGCTCTACTTAGTAGCTACTGATAAAAGAAAGTGATTAATCCTCCTTTTCTGCCAGCAAAACTTTGACACAACTATTAATTATACTTTTTGTTTCCAGATAAATATAAAATCTTTATCTTTGCCATCCCAAAGCTGGAAAAGAATAGAAGGAACATGCAGCACCTAGCATCCTGACATCAGTCAAACAGAAAGAACAGAGATCCAAGTAAGGAAACAAACTTCTCTAGTATCAGATATTCATTTAATAAGCAGTGGCACAACATGTTTGAAAGTAACAGAATTGCTCTGTGCAATGAGCTACATGGTGTTTGCATTAATGCCCTTCCACACTTCTCCATTACACGATCCAGTCAGTTTACTTCACTAACTTTTTAATCAGAAAGCTATTCTTGCAATAAGCTGCCAAAACCTGAAAGCCAAACTGACATAAGCAATGTCTTTCTGAGAAAATTTATGATCCCACTACTCAGAATAAATGCCAAAGTTCAAGAGACTCACCAAATCTCATGACCTTCAGTCTGTAGTGCTTCCATATTCTGTATAGGTAAGTGCGGTGTGATGGCATAGCTGGTTCCAAAGAATGAACAAAACAAAACAAAGACAGACAGAAATTAGGTCTACACTATAAAACAGTTGAGGGGAAAATTGTTAGTATAAACTCGACTGGAAGACAAAAAATGCTAGCATCAGGAATGGGAATGAAAGACTAAAACGATGAAAGAACAAGCCACATCTGCCATTTAGTCCACTAAATTTCACTGACAGCTTGCTAGGGAAATAGTCCTACTTTCACTTAAAAATGGTAGTGATGAGAAAAGGAAACAAAAGTACAGAAAGAGGGAGACAGCATTAGTCTGGAACTTGTAATTGTTTCTATGAAAGTCTATATTCCTCATTCAAAACCCCCAGGTTTTAAAATTAAAGTAACCAAAAACCATGAAGGATTTGGCTACTAAATAAAAAAGAAGGGAAAGGAAACGTTTCCATTAGATTAACTCCCTGTTGTCTCTAACTCCCACAGTCTTACTTGAATATACTTAGTTGACTGGAATAACCAAAGGCCTTTCCATAAGGGTTGGTAATTACCATAACTCTATGTCATAAAAGCACAGCATCTCAAAGCCCTTCAATATTAAGCTTTATTTTTGTGCTCATACTATTAATAGCAGGGTGGAAAAATCAGCTGGGACAGCTTTTATTACATTAAACAGCAAATCTTGTACTTGCTGTTCTCCCAAACTAACAGCTAAATGTATGTCACAGTTCTAAGGCCAAAAAGTTACAGCCAGACTGCAATGCTACAGATAAATGAAAACCAACCATGCTGGCAGCACAGATAAGTCCAAATATAAGGAGGTCAGAAAGACCCATTTCTTGTGTTTGCCATTTAATATCACAACCATAACATTTTTGTTTTCTCCATGTTCCAGTTGCTATCCCAGTACCTGGAACCTGTATCAGTAGTGCATCAGACCCTTCATGCTAGAGGCAGAGCTTACTGATTTATGCAATAATAATAAAAATAAATTACAGGGGGAGGGAAAAAAAGACACTTTAGAAATTTTGAATCCAAATGAGCACTAATTAGAAAAAATATTTCACTTAAAGAATGCTTTTACTGGAGGTGGAAGTGACAGAAGATTCTTAGGCAGGAGAAATACTCCAGTTCCTTGTTTTCCTGTTATTAAAACAACTAACTATGAATGAAATAATTTAAAGAGGACAAATCTGTGCCAGAAATAAATGGGCTGTGGACAGCTGGGAGCCCCCTGTTGATTTTTCTGTTTTTTTTTAATATCTTAATTTTAAAAGGCAAAGATTTTTGATCATACTGGGAGCTGAAAATGTTTTTATTCTGCACCAAACATACATCCTGTATTCCTGTATTTATACACCAAACATTTATTTCATAGGAGACTTTTTTTTTTTGAGTACACACAAATTTAAGATAGATTTACTGAATTATCCTGTTGGCACTGTTCCTGCTAATGGCTTTCTAAAAAGATTTATTAGTTGATGAGAAAAGGTTGTCAATCTTAAGCAAAATGGGATCTAAAATTGTGTCAAATACTTGAAAAGTTACGTTTTGTTCTTTATGTTGCTTTATAGCAAAACCTTTAATATTACTTTTTGCTTAACTGTTTTACGAATAGAACTTATTTGCTGCACTTATTTAAATTTCCACAAACCATCTTTTCAGCTCGCTGCATGCTACAACAGCTTCACCTTAAAGCAAATCTGAATGGGCAGAATTGAGGCGCTCTAATACATGCCACTGTAGTGTATTTTAGAGAAAATAAACCCAAAGTTAAAACAGTCTAAAACTCAGTTTGTTTTTCACTTGAAGTGATGAAGTTTGATTTGGCTTCTTTCCCTTTGGGATAAAGATCATTCATAGCAATACATTCAGTTTTTAAATTACCCTTTATGTTAAGGAATTATATCCTCTTGCACTTCAACTAACTGGATATGCTGTAACAAGCTGCCTGGGAGTCTGTGGACTTAAGTATAGGAGAAAACATGGAGCATAAAGTCAGCTCTGATCTCCCAGTCCAAGGATAACATGCCTCAACAACACAAAGAAATTCACCTCAGACGCAGGCCTGAGTTTTAAAAAAGTGTTTGTTTTGGTTTGGATGAATGGCAACAATATCTTATATTTAAGTTTGGTGCCCAAACTCTAGTTTACTGGTGTGATTTCTTCCAGAGTACTTATCTGTTCTCTAGAAAATTAAGCATGATACATTGACTCACATGGAATCAAAAAGAATGCAGGTCCAACAGAATGTGCTGTGAAGTTGTCTCTATGCCATTCTTCAGCCTCGTTCTTTCAGTGCAGACAGCTCCCAGAGTGGAGCAGTACTTCTGTAAGCTCACTCACACCTTTGGTAGGCATTAGAACTTATACTAAATGAGGTACTTAAACTTTTAGGTATGTTATCCTTCTCTACAAAGCAAAGTAGAGCAGTAGTTTATCTGACAAGAGTTTTGGTTATACATATGTCGAGCCACCGACATAAAATAAGCCATATTCAACAGTTCTTTAAAGGCTGCCATATTAAAGAAAATATTTAATCAAATGGACTTTTCTATAGTGCTGGTGATCCTGCACTCTGTGTCCAGAAAGCTCAAGACCATAAAATCAGGGACTGAGCTGCCTGTGTCACTCAGGCATAAAGGGCAAAATCTTTGCTCAAGAGCATGCAAAAATCCTGTAGCAGAGCTAGGAACCTCTTCTCTCATTTTGTTTCCTAGTAAAAGGAATGCCAAAGTTACATATAATGAGTAGATACCAGTCCTCTTCCCATTCATAACAAGAATGATGCACACACAAAATTCATTACCAACCTGAAGTGGAGCTACACTTGCTTGTGCCAGCAATACCTCAGTCACATACTATCAAAAGGCACAGCATACATAAAGAGGTTTCAGCTAGCATGGAAATGTTACGGAATACAATTAAAAATTTAACTGAATTCCACCTCTCACTCCTCAGGATTCTTCCTAATCTGATATTGGGCATTTTTCAGTGGTTCCAAGTGGCACTTGTGGCTCAGACCTCTGAAAAAAAACTTCCCTACCTCAGAAATCCAGTTGTTCTGCAGTCACTCTGAACAGACCTAATGAAGTAGCTCACCTTTCTGCATTATCTATTCTGATGCATGGTGTGAATATTTTGCAAGAGAAAAGAAAGAGTTAGCCATTCTGCCAAATAGGAGACTGTTAAAGAAGTGAAGGCGAATATATTTAAATTCAGTTAACAGACTGTTCTGTATGGAAGAATCTTCCATGTTGAGGCATTTTTGGAGTAGAATGTGTAGACTTGGAACAGGGGAAACTGACCCTCCACTGCAAGCTGCAATTACTCTCTCCCTCTCAAAAAGGAGCAAGTACATACCTTGTATATATTTAATCTCAGAAATAAATTGATGGGTTTTACCTGTTTGCGATGCCCACAGTTGGCTGCCACTTGCAATCATTGGAATGGAGAGGAGTGATTTCAGAAGGCCAGGCAGAAGGACCATGCTGACTCCATATGGATAGTACCCTGCCCAATGAGTATGGCAATGAAGAGACGAGGTCATCTGATACAGAAGGTGGATACCTTGCCCCTTTCAAACCCTGTGCGAATTGTGATATAAATAGTCTCTGGATGGTAGGAATATGACTAGTTATATTTCTTCTTCTTGTCCAAATCCTGTAGCATCCAGGGGAAGAAATTGCTAACACTGTGTGAAGGCCAGCCATGGAGCAACCGCCTCTTCTTTCAGCTATGGCATTCCTTCGCCGGTCACGACGAAGGACAACAGCCCCTGGGGTTGTTAGAGAGAGAGAGGAATGCAGTTCATTATTTGGACTGGAATCTTCTTGGAAAGCTGTTGTATCTGAACAGCTCTGAGACAGGAAAAAAGAGAAAGTCCACTTCGAAGGCGGTGCTGGCGTTCCTCCCAAAACTGGTCCGTGATGTACAGAGTGCTGGGATGTCATCCCTGTGAGGTCTGTCACAGGACTGGAGTCCAATTTTATGTGAAAAGAAACTGGGAAAACTGTGGTATCCAAAAAAGAGGTTGGAGGCTTGTGGCTCAAGTCTGAAAAAAGTATTTTGGTAGATTCTACAGGATAAAGTGCCAAAGGCTGAAAGCTGAACATCTTGGTGCACCAACTGTCAGCCCAGCGTGACTGTAAGTTCCTGTTAATGCAAGAAAAGGCTTCCGATAGATTCTTATACCTACGTTGGCTGTACCTCTCACCCGCTGGAAGAAGTTCAGCAGAACGTGGCAGAGGTTCTACCTTATGGCTGCTCTCGGCAGGAGCCAGGAGCTGGCTGGCCATGGCAGACAGCTTGCTCAACAGTGCTGGTTCTTTGGTACATTTTCTAAGTCTCAAGCTGTTCAACAAACTGCACCTCTTGGCCCTCTGCCTTGGCATATGCACACACCTCATGGCTGCTTCTGCTCCCGGTGCTGGTGGTTTACATGGGAAGTACAAAGATTCGAGAAGTGTGCTTTCCTGTTTAGGGAATACCTCTGGGGGAATCTCAAAAAAAGGTGAGCTTCTATTCTTTTTGCTTTTTCTTACTACTTTTAGCTGATATGATGTGAGAACTTTTTTGCATGTCCTTCCAGGCTGTCTCTTTAATGGAAGAGGCTCTCTTTGCTTAGCTGTAGTTCCAAAGGCACCAGCGATTCCATCATACCCTAAATTAAGGTTCAGGTTTTGCATTTCTGAATCCTGAGTCTTCAAAAACTGTGAACTAATAACATCTGTGGTAATCTTTGGCCTTTTGACTTCTTGTAAAGTGCTACATAGTTTATTTTCACTGCTTCCAACAGCAAAAATCTCATCTGAAGGACTTTCAAACTTTGTATTTCTTGATGTCACCAACTCACGTGAAGAGCTGCACAGGAGTCCAGAACTGTGCAACATACTTGGTCGCAGTGTGATTTTTGCTTTCTCTTGATATTCTGCCTTCTGTTCTTGTTGTGCCTTGTCTGACAGATGTTCTTCCATCTTCTTACACTTCTTCTTTTGTTTAGGTACCTGACATTTCTCTATTTGATCACATCTCTCTGAACCTGAAACCTCATTTTCCTTGCAAACAGAATGAGTTGGTGTAGTGTCCTGGCCTTCTGTAATCAAATTTACATTATCTTTGCTTTGTGCATTTAATTTGTAAGGCACACATACTTCATTGCAAACCACACAGTTTGGGGGTAATTCTTTGCAACTGTTTGGTAGTGTCGTAGGTGGGTAAAACGGGGTCATTGTATTACACTGCAATTCTGGTGAAGTTTCTGCATCAGATGCAGCTGCAGCCTGACAATCACGCTGAGTTTCTGACAGGAGATTGGTACCTGCTAAGTTTCTGAGCTTTGTATCACTTGTTCTTTCTTTTGAAAGACTATTTAAGTTAGATCTTGGGATTTCTTCCAAAATCTTTCCATAATTCTCAGTACTGAGAGGGACTATTTTGCTACCAGGCTTTTCTGAATCTTCTGAAAATGCCCATGAACAATCTTCTAAATCAAGAAAAGAACCTGTGGGCAAGGTTTTTCTAGGGTCTACTTCTCTTCTCATCTTCTCTTCCACACATGTATTCCTAAACTTCTCTCCACAGTGAGTCCTTTTTGGTTGGGTCTCATCCATGTCTTTTATGCTTAGCATGCTATGCCCCTCAGCTCTCAGACTTTCTTTGCTGTAGGCACAAACCCTTGAGCATTTTGCACCATTCAGAAAGCTGGTTGTGGCTTCATTATCTGACAACGGAACCTCAGGTTTGTTGGCTTTTCTCTTACCAGACATTGTTACAGAAAGAGGCTTTGCCACTGAAGAATCTTTGCCAAAAGCTTCAGCTGCAGATGAATCGCAGTTATCCATTTGTGCATTCCCAGATAACAGACACTGCTTTTCTTTCTCAGGCAGAGAGATTCCCAGGTCCAGAACTGATGGTGTTTCTGAATCCACCTGAGTCTCATTATAAGAGTCTTGGATGTCAAACTTTCTGAAATGGGACACAGCAATACCCTTTTGAGTGTCAGTTTCTTTACAAGGCTCAAATGTTAACTGTGGGGAAGAGTTACTTAAGATAGATTTTATTCTCAGACTCTTGTTTTCTGTCTCTGAAAGCGCATTCATACTTTCTGGCTTATATGACAGACTCCGAGGAATTGATGAGAAGGGCAAAAATTGGGCACTAACTGGATTTTCCTGATCCTCCACTGATGACTTCACCTTTGGCAAAGACTGCTGCATTTTGTTTCCTGCAAGTACTGGCTCTGCTTTCTCTTCTGCACATTTGATAAAGCAAGCACGCTGTGAACAATGTGATTTGCTATCAGAAAAGCTTTGTTCAAGACTTCCTTTATCTTCTCTTTCACAGCTGTTCTTGTGTTCTTTTTGTTCGATTGTCTTCTCTTCAGTTAGATCGCTGACGAAGCCCATGTCTCCTGAGCAGTGTTCATTTCTCTCACCATTTAAAGAGTCCAAATCCATTGCACTCTCTTTCAGAGTTCCTTGAAAATTGTCCTCTCTTACATACTCAGGAGCTACTGGAGGCAGGTCGTTACCTGTTTTTAACAGTATCTCTTTGCTCTGACTAGAGCCAATTGATATTTTGGTTTCTTCCACAGAGCTAGCCTTAGTTTGTAAGCCAGTCTTTGGCAGTTTACTTAAACTTTCTAAATGTTGCTTGCTGCCTGGAATCGGGCCATCAAACTCACTCTGAGACGCAAGATTCTCCATTGGACGAAGGGTCTTCTCTGCTTGAATATTCCTGTTGCTGGGTAACGGACACCTCTCACAGACTGAAGCACTGTACTTGGAGGGGTTAGCTGTGAGCGATGACACTTCTTCCTCCTTACACGCTCCCAGTTCTCTCTTCTTTGGGCCTAATGGAGAGTTGCAAAATCCAAAATTATGAACACAGGCTTTTTTGTTCAAATATCTGACTAATAGCTGTTCACTAGTTTTATTTCTCTGATTGCCTTTAGGAACCTTTGAAGCATCCACAGTTCTTATTCTATCAAAATCATCTCTCTGGAGAGCACACACGCCGATTTGTTCTTTTGCCTCATCTCTGCCACAAACAATTTCACTGCCATCTGTTACTTTACAAAGACCAAATCAGTTCAAAACCTCCATATTCTTATTTGGAACCTCATTTCTTACCAAGGTAGCAATAGACTTCTCTGCAGTGTAAGCTGAGCAAAGTGTGGGCTTTGCTGTGGAAACATTTATCCCATATAGATCTACACCTCTGTTGCCCCAGACATTTTCACAAGGAAGAGATTCACATGCCAAAGGGAAGTGTGCTTTTGGAAAGATGAGTGCCTTTGAAGCTTCTCCTTCCAAATTATCATTTTCCTCAGTCTTCTTATTGACCTCAACATTAAAGGAATGACTGTTCAGGAAAACATCATCTCCATGTGTACTCCCTGATAAAACACAGGAAGTACTGGCAGCTGTACACTGGTCTTTCATACTCTGATTATTACAATTCCATGTGTCACTATGTTCATTTTCTAAACTAGTGACCACACTCTGTGTATCTCCCACTGAAGACTTCATGTTCTTTTGGGAAATTTTGCTTGTCACATTAGGGTTCTCAGAAGTCCTGGACCTTACTGAAGACTTGAATTTGTCTTTATGAAGCACAATTTTAGTGACTTGCTCCCCTGTTGTTCCAGAAGCACCAACTAATTCTTTTCCAGATAGATTATCCTGAGCCTTGTCCCTGCTTGAAACTTCATTAGCAGTACAAGGCAGACACTCATTATGACGAGGTTCTCTTGATTTTTGTACAACAGGAGGTAGAGTTACATTTAGTGTACAATTCAAATTAGCTTCTTTGCCACTGGAGAAACTGTCATTACTATTAGCTTCTGTAGCTTCAACTAAACTGCCAGCCAACTCTTCTGCTGTTGCATTACTCTCACATTCCTTTTCAAGTGGTTGTGCCTCAGGTGACCCTTTTTCTAGCTTGGTACTAAGATCCAGACAGCTGTGGCTACTGGGAGGAGAAATTTTACCAGAGGGATTATAAAAGCATATGTCTGTCTGTCCAATTTCACAGGAAGCAGTGTTGCTCCTTTCCATCAATAGACTATTTTCTTTCATATCATCCTTGCATAGATCACTGACAAAGAACTGCCAGTGGTCCTTGTTCAATTTATCACCATTTCAAATCTTTCTTTTGAGAACTCCTCAGGAGATGAAGCAACAGAACTAAAAACTGAAGAATGACAATGCTCAGAATTAGCACCCTCTTGACCTTCAGGAGAGCTACAAACTTCAACGCTACCTCCCACAGCAGTTTTTCTCCAGCCTTCAACAGCCTCTTCAGATTCAGACCTGCATGATTTACCTACACTAGAACTTCCCTCCCTAATATCAGATTTAACACTAGATAATCCTTTCCTCCTTACCACTGAGATC